GCTAATAGATCTTTGTTTCATCTGTTTCAAAATAGTCAGATGAGACAGGAGCAGTTAGAAGCTTTTAGCCCCCTCTCCGCTTGCAGGCCTTCCTTCTGTCTCCCCTGAGGAGGATTAAAAAAAAATGACCCAGTTTTAACAATTAGGTCAGATGTAAATATATCAATTCTAGTCTTTATTGACTAGAAACTGTGGTATGCTTCTATTAGGGAGTCTTAACAAGAGCTTGCTGAGTGGACCATGGACGAGCAACAGGCCAATTTGACTCTGACAGTACTTTCCCCCGGTTGGAAGCAAACTTGGACACGCTTGTCTCTGTAGCAGATGCTGCAGAGTGGCACACTCCACATTCATTCCCCATCATCCTCTCCCTTGCCTTCTCTATATTTAGAAGCTGAAAAGAAAAGTACTTTCCCAGAGTCACTTGCTGCTAAGAGTAGCATTACGACACAATTTTGACTAATGACATGCAGGTGAAAATCCCTCGGGGGTTTCCCAGGAAAGAAATATAATTATTTTGGCTAGGGTTTTAAGTCCCATTTTTCATTTTAGGCACTACACTTTTCACAACACTTGGAGGGGATAAAAAATATATGTAACAGCTAAAAACCATCTCTACATTGACACCTAACACATGGAATATCTGTTCATGGGGTATCTATCTGTTCATCCCTAGGAGCTATATCCTAACAAGATAGCACTGACTCTCCTTTAAGTAAATGACAAGTGATCAGAGGAGGACAAGGCTGTCACCTCTTTGAACTCCAATACAGCTATGGGTTGATGCATCACAGCTGTAGAACTTAGGTCCTAGAACTGACTACCATTAATATATGTTATAGCAGTGTTAAAAAGTGGTTGCTGAAAGAACAGTTTCTTTAACAAATGGTGTTGGGATAACAACCTCATACAAAAGAATGAAGCTGGATTCCTACCTGACACCCTGTACAAAAATTAACTCAAAATGGATCAACAAGCTAATTATAAGAGCTAAAACCATAAAACTCTTAGAAGAAAACAAAATTTTCATGATCCTGGATTTGGCAATGGACTCTTAGATACGATACCAAAAGCAGGAGAAACAAAAAAATAAACTGGACCTCATCAAAATTAAAATCTTTTGTGTACCAAAGGGCATCATCAAGAAAAAGATAACCTAGGAGTGGCTGGATAGCACAGGTGGTTAGAGTGCTTAACACCAAGGTTGCCGGTCTGATCCCCACATGGGCCAGTGAGCTGTGCCCTCCAAAACTAGATTGAAAACAATGACTTGACTTGCAGCTGATGGGTCCTGGAAAAACACACTGTTCCCCAATAAAGTTTACCCAAAAAAGCCACAAAAAGACAACCTACAGAATTGGAGACAATATTTGCAAATCATGTCTAGTAAGGGTCTAGTATCCAGAATCTATGAAGAACTCTTACAACTCAACAACAAAGACAAACCACCCAATTAAAAAATGAGCAAAGTGGGCCAGCTGAGTGGCTCAGTTGGTTAAGAGCTCACTCAAGAGTTTGAGCTCTGAGCGACAGCAGTTCGATTCCCGGCCCGAGCTGAGCTACCAACAGGTAGCAGGATGGCTCAGCTAAAAAACAAACCAAAAAAAAAACCAGCAAAGGAAGGACTTACATAGACATTTCTCCAAAGAAGATATACAAATGGACAAGCATGTGAAAAGATGCTCAACATCATTAGTCATTAGGGAAACACAAAAACCACAGAAGTACCACATATCATTTTTAAAAATAGGAAATAACAGTGTTGGTGAGGATGCAGAAAAACTGGAACTCTCGTCATTGCTGATGGGAATGGAAAACGTTTCAGCAGTGCAAGTCTGTCAGTTCCTCAAAAAATTAAACACAGAATTACCATATGGCCTAGTAATTCCACTCTTAGGTATAGATCCAAAAGAATTGAAAACTGGTACTCAAACACATGTACACACATCCACAGCAGCACTATTCTCAAAAGGTGGAAACAGCTCAAGTACCGATCAACAGATGGCTAAACACATTGTAGTATAGGAAACTCATCTACTGTGGTCTATGGGGAGATGAACCTCAAAAACATTATGCTAAGTGAAAGCAGATAGACACAAAGGTCTAATTTTGGAACTACACGTGGTGGTTGCACATTTTGCATGTACTAAATGCCACTGAATCACCTTCACTTTAAAACAGCCAATTTTATATTTCACATCAATTTTTTTAAAAAAGATGGCTGGCTTCCTTGACCAAAATGGAATCAGTGGTCACTGACTTGCAGTAAAGGTATTGGAAAGCCCGATTTTCCTCTTTAGGGTATTAGTGTAAAATGAGAACAAAATCAGATTCCGTTCAATAGGCTTTGTGGGGAATATCCACCCAGTTTTGTTTCCTCTGTTCCTCTGCTTGTCTTGAACATCTCCCTTCAATACCGACTACTCAAGATGGGCAGAAGAGTGAATAGGAAATGTATTAAACTATAATCTTATTATCACTTCTGGCATAAAGAAATTATTGAGAATGTGATGTTAAAAAATCAGTAATAATGGGATTATGGTATTGACTGGGATTTTAGTTTCATTTATCCATGTGATTTCACTATAGTTTAGAAAAGATAATAAAAGGCTGCTACTAGACTACAGAACTCATGTGGCAATTTTAACCCATCTTATAAGTTTAGAATGCTTGGTACTCAGATTTCACTGTACACTTTTATGTTTATTAAATAGTTTCCTAGGATTGCTGTAATAAAAGTACCTCAAACTTGGCTTAAAACATCAATTTCATCTCTTAGTTCTAGAGTCTAGAAATTAGAAATGCAGGTGTCAGCAGGGCCATGGTCCCTTTGAAGACTCTAGGGCAGAGTCCTTCTTGCTCCTCCAACTGCTGGTGGCCTCAGGCAGTCAGTCCTTGATTTGTGGCAGCATAACTCCAGTCTCTGCCTCCATCTTCACGCACCTTGCTTGCTGTGTCTCTGTCCTCTCTTCTTATAAGGGCACATCAGTCATTGGTGTTAGGGACTATCCAAAATCCAGGATGATGTCACCTCGAGATCCTTAACAAATTACATCTGCAAAGACTCTTTCCAATAACGTCACATTCTGACATACTGGGTGAACATAAATTTGGGGGTGGGGGGCACTAGTCATCTCATTACATATGCTATGTAAGCAACGTAATTTCTCTTTTTGACACAGTAAGGTTTTTTAAAAACTCGAATTCAAATTTAGCTTGATAAAATTAGAATAATTCTTCTGGGGAAACTTAAAAAATAAATATTTAATGTTCAAAAGAAACGAAATCAAATTAACAAAAAATATCAAATCCCTAGACTTGAGTCCTCCTTTTATTAAAACTGATGTAACCAAATAAGAAAAATATCTTTTGACAGAAACAAAGCATGATAGATTGGTGCTATATTCTTTATAATTCCTTACTTACAAAAATAACTTCAGCTTTGTCATCATAACAATTCAACAAATCCTCTTCTAGAAGTCAGGAGCCTTGATACTTATAATTTTTACTAGAAAAACTTTTTAAAAAATCCTTAAGCCATAATTTTTAAACATTTAAAATCAATTTTTTAAAAATCTAAAAGGTGCAACTCTACAACCATCTTCAAAATGTAGTGTGAAATTATGTGGTCAAAAACCAACTACTTGAAATAACATATGATGACAATGTATCTGCAAATCATTTCAAATCCTAATTGATAAACATAATTATTTCATGTTCAGGTAATTTTATAAATTATAAGACAATGCTGGTAGACTGTACATTTTCCAAACAATAAGAACATATCCTACTTCATATATTTTAACTTCTGGGGGAAATTTTTCTATATTAATGAAAATGTTATTAGAAATTTTCAGAAATGTTCTCATGTACCAAGATTTCATATGAAAAAGCAGAAGTTATTTTTATTTTGTATATAAAACAGTAAGTATGAACCTAACGTAGAAATCTGATGTTAGACAATTTCTTTGGCAGAAAACATTTAATTATAAACAGGTTTTAAAATAAATACAACCCATAAGATCATGGAACAGAAGGAAAAACTACAACCCTGTATTTCTTATTAACACCAATATCTCAATACACAAAATTAATAACATTTTTATACTATCAACAACCTGCAACAACAAAATTCACTACAGAATGGCAAAAATAAAATTATTTTTAATTTAAGGGGGAGAAGAAACTTTTGGATGTATAAAATTTCTCAGCTAAGTGCCAATATACACTATTTATATACATGTCGCGTGTTATATTATTCCAAAACTACATTAAATGAACTTAACTAGCTGGTCCCAATTTAGTGGGTGTGCTATATTTATACTATCTCAAAGACTCATGGAGAATAAGCTTTTACAATTCCAATCACAACTATACATGAAATATTTACACAAACATTAAAGTAACTGTTTATTAAATATTTAGGAGGAAAAATGATTTTCCACATATATGCAACATTAACTATTATCAAGAGCAGCTTTGTAAATGTTCTTTTATGTTTTGTTTTCTTTAAAGAAGATTCGTTTCCAAAAAGTAAGTTGCCATTTTAGAATTTTTTTAAGTGTATCATTGAATTCATATGGAAGGAAAATACTAGGTAAAAAACAGAACATGAAACATTAAAGGTTAAAACTTTCCAGTTATTTATATCTGAAATTAAGATAATGACAAATTGGGCTGTCAAATACTCCTTATTTTCACTTTAAATGTAGACTAAGTAGATTACTTAGTTCATACACTATTTTGTTCTAGGGCAGTTTCCTTGAAAAAGGAATATACTTAGAATCAAATTTCTTTAAACGATAAATGACAAGAATTTCTACAGCACTGTCATCATATAGATTCTTAGTATAAAGATTAAGGGCTTTCTTTAAAAAACAATATAGAGAGTGGCTCAGTTGGTTAAGAGCTTGCTCAAGAGTGCGAGCTCTGAGCAACAGCGGTTCGATTCCTGGCCCAAGCTGAGCAGCCGCTGAGCTGCCAACAGGTGGCAGGATGGCTCAGCTTAAAAAACAAAACAAAACAAAAAATATAGAAACCTTGTTTCCATACAGTTAACTTTTTAAAAACTAAACTTATGTCCATTTTTTCCCCAGTCCAAATATCATGTGTCTGTAAACATGCATTTGCATTTTCTATTTTTTTATCTAAAAAACTGGTAGATGATGCAGTAGTGTGCAAATTTTTAGGCAAAAAAACAATCCCTATTGTTTTACTAACTCCTACAGTATGTGGAATGGATTAGCATTATAAACTAATTTAAAACGTAGGCTTCTGAAAAAGTGTCTGGACAGCTTTGTTATCAATCCATTGTCTGTTACTCCACAGGCTCAGAATTACTTCTGAAAGGAATGACCAAACTTTTCAACAGCTTGGCATAGCAATGGTACTCAAATCACCTTTTTAAAGAAACAACATATCAATAAAAACACACTTATCATCCACACTTGGCATCCATCACATCAAATTATTAGGAATGTGTCATGGCTCAAATTCACATATAATCCGTAAAAAGGAAATGAAGCATCTCTGCACACCACACTGAAGGAAGGAAAACAAATGGACTGTATCTTCATGACAGAATAACCAAAGTCATTTGACAAGATCAGTACAGTGGCAATTCTATAAATACAAGGGACCCTTGTAGGGAAAGAAATGTTCTTCAGGGAAGGGAAATGTTTTGTGGGGCACTGCTTAGCCCACTGCTGGCAGGACTGGGGGACTAGCTAAATGCTTTAACACACATCTGCATTTACATGGTCTTCACTATTAATAACAGAAAACATTTTTGTTCCTTCCAAGTTGCTCCTGCTTCTGTAGACAATTATATGCTAATTATTACTCAACCATAACACTGACAGCAAAACTGACAGTACTGCAAACACAACTGCAATTTAAGGAGCCAAAAAGAAATATGTTGGCAAGCTAAATGCTTGCACAAAAAAGATGTTTGCCTTTTAAAATAATGGTGTGTGGGAAAGTGAAAATAACATAGACCAACAATATTTAAAGGTTTCAGTGCTCTCCCAATTAATGTGACATTTTAGGGGTAAAGAGCGGGTGTTCTTACAGTAAAATTTTAACACTCATATCTCATGCTGTTTAGTGTCATAAGGCTACTTACTGGGTGTGCATATTTGTGTAAAGAAATTTGAAACTAAGACAAAATTAACTGGAAGCAACTTAATGCTGCCTCTGTTCAAAAGTTTGACTTCAAACAAATTGGACTGAAAAAAAACCAAACCCTTTTAATGGCCAAATAAAGTAAGGTAAGTTTTTGTGCTTTATTTATTCATGGTCCTTATGAGTTCAGAAAAAAAAATTTTTCCTTTACTATTTTCAGATTAGAATCATTAAGGTCGAGTAATACACTTATGAAGGCTTTCAAGAAAGTGTTTGGTTTGTTTCTAAAGGAGAGGCTGCTGATGGTAATTTGTTTGCTGCTGTGCAACTGAATGAGCTGGAACTGCCACTGGAAAGCCTGCCAGTTGCGGCAGATTGGTAGTAGTGTTCTGGTAAGATGACATATCCACAGACATCCCCATCTGCTGTGTGTAAGCAGCTGTACCAGGAGCTGATTGAAGGTTAGAGTTCTGGTTCATATAAGTAGGATTGGAAACAGTCTCTTGTCCAGTGCTACAAACAAAAATTTAAAAAGAAAACCATATTTATTTCACATTATCTATTGTCAGAAATCAATCATCATGAAATGCCTTTTTTATCTTTTTAAGTTTATTAGCTCTGCTATTCTAGTTATGATTTAATCACCCTACCTAACACTGTTAATGTAATTTTCAAATTTGGTAAGTACTCAAAAAGAGAAAAAATGTAAGATTAGAAGGCCTATTTAATTTTGTTTTCTCCAAAATCTCTCTCTGAAATCATTTCAAAATCTGTTGAGGAGATGCAGACAGTTTCCAACCGTGGTCTCCTTGGCCAGCGTCAATGAGAACGAAGCCCCAGCTCAAGTACCCCTTCAGCCCACACTCTCCCTTCCCCCATCTCTCAGTCCAGCACAGAGGAGCCCCTCCTCTTTTCCTCACACATTCTTTACAAGTTCCTTTCGTAGGGCACTTTCAAAGCTGCCCCTATAGTCAGCCTAACCTGAATCCCTATTTAAATCAAGGCAGGGAGAATGGTGTAATCCACACAGGATCCTGAATCCATCCTCGAGATAGTTCTGACCTATAGCGTAGATACTAACACTATTAAAAAACAAAGAAGGGCCGGCCGAGTAGCTGTTAGATAAGAGCTCACTCAAGAGTGTGAGGTCTGAGCAACAGCGGTTCGAGTCCCAGCCCAAGCTGAGCTGCTGCTGAGCTCCCAACCGGTGGCAGGATAGCTCAGCTTAAAAAAACAAAAACAAAAACACTAAGTTGAACAATCACACCAAACTACAGGACTTCTGTTTGTTTCTGTAATTACTATAGCATATATGTATTTTAAAAGACATATAATTTGAAGTCACACCAAATACACTGTTCACAATCTAGGAGGATTAATATCTACACTACTCCAGTTTTTTCTCCGTATTCTTAGTGTCACCCAGGATAACAAGTTGTACAATTTAATTAAATGAAATGTGAACACCAATATGAACAGGTTTGTTTTTCAGATAATAGCTAAAATTTATACACATAGAATTTAAAACTGAGGAGAGGCCTTAGAGATCATCTCCACATGACTATATTGAATGAACATTTTATGTGGGTAAGCAAAGTTAATAGAAGGCAAGATTTAAACATGATTTTCTGAACAAAATCGTTAGTATAAAAAAAAATTAGACTACAAATTCCACAACTCAAACACACTTTTTTTTTAAGAGTCAAAATAATGAGTTTTCTGATTTTTAGGACTGCATGCATATAAATACCGTTTCCCCAAAAATAAGCCCTCACGTAATTTTAGGTGCCAAAATATGGCACCTTGGCATACTGAATATTTTAAGCTGAAGGAGTTTGTGGAAAAGGCCCCCTTCTCCCTGAAACAAGTCATAAAACCCTCATGTGAGGGGTGTGTGCCCTCTCTATTCTGGAGGAATCATGCTAGGGCTTCTTCTCTGGTTAGGTCTTATTTTTGGAGAAACATGGTATGTCTGGGACCACTTCACTAGGCTGATTACAGCATCATCTAAGTATATTATGGGCTTGGTCCCTCTAAGGGACAGTTAGCTTTATTTGGTCCCAGGAAACCAGACTATAAGCCACGGGCAAGCATCTTAGTATGGACGGCAAGTCTAAGAGCAGCACCATTCTGACTTCATGGGTTTAGGAATAGACAGTTCTAGAACTTCATCTCAGTAGTGAAAGGACACTATTACTACAAAGAGAAGGGTCTACTTATTCTCATTCTGAAAGTCTGTGAAAATGTAATGTATATGATCACAAAATTCACACAGCTCCCAAAAACTTACCTTAGATACGGAGCTTGAGCAGGCTGTGTTGTCACTGAGGAATTCACATTTGGAGGCAGAGATCTCAGTGGCCCCATCTGATCTGGCCCAAGGCTGTAGCTTTGGGCACCTGGGACTTGGTGAATGCTTTGGCCCATGTAATTTCCACCATGTGGTTGAATTGGGTATGCCTATTAACCAGAGAAAAAATTGACTCACTGACCTCCCAAACAATATATTTAAAACTTTAAAAGACACAAATGAAATAAAATGTTAAGAGTTCTCTGGAGAGCAGTCTTGTTTCACCAATCTATCCACCCTAGCATAAAAAGTAGAGAGCTTCCAAATCACAGTGCCCAGTTTATGGAAATTTAGAATTTATTTGGTTGCTCTTTTATTTTGAAGGGGGTTGAAAGCAAGGGAGGTGGTGTATTTGTAAGAAGTGGGTTGGAATCCATCCACATTGCCTAGTACTTAGTAACCTGTCTTGCTGTAGAGCCACAGAAAACTAAATATTCCCTTGAAGGGCAGCCCATCATCATCACTTCATGTCACCATCAGAATGATGACCTTCAACCCAGGATGACTCATTCAACTCCTTCCTAAGAATAAAACTTAGAATAAGTTCAAGAATAAATGATACCAGGGCCGGGGGCACCCTCTCTGGCAATGTCTTTATTTCCTGCCTTTAGGACAGACAAAAGTAAAAAATAATTTTGTGCGTAAAAGAGAAGATGTATTGTCAGGAAATAGCAAAATGGTCTAATTCTCTTTAGATATTTATAATGTGCCCTACTTAATTTTCAGGGTAACATCTCCTTAAGGACAGGATCTACCATCTGCCTACCAAATAGAGCATTCAAAACAATGCACAATTTTAATAAATATATAGTAACTAACATCACTCCAGTTTTTAACTAAGCTGTTTCTAAAGCAAAAACCACGGGCATGAAAACTTAGAATGCTAGAAATGCCAAATCAACTACATTAAGGGAATCATATCACTTCCTTAGCAGACACATGACAGCCCACTGACAATAGGCTGAGACTGTGGGAACAGGCCTCTTCTGAAGTTCAGGGTTCCTGGTGGCTTCACAGACACAGATAAAGTTACTGCAACGTTTTCTAGTATGGATTTTTTTTCCAAATTAGAATAGGAACTTTGAATATTTCAAATGCTATTATGAATGAATAGATGTTATGTGAGCAAACTCATAATACAAAGCTAACTTTTTAGAGAAATGGGTTGTGCTTTCCAAAATACAGATTGTAAATAGTATGCAACTAAACACAAAAACCTGACATAAGAATGACAAATAACCCTTTAAAGACATACAAAGAAGCAATGTAACATACAATTCTATGATACAATGGTATAGACATTTCTATTTTGTTCCATGTTCACAGCAGCAGCAAATACTTCTTTGAAAATGGATGCAATATTGAATAAGCTCCACCTGTCTTTTGCATCCAGAAATCCTTTCTACCCTCATTTGTAATGACTCATCATTTTCAAAAGTTTGGGGTATGGCATATTTGATAAATGCATCTGGTCTGATGTGACAGTTACCATAGTAACTATTCTTTTTTTACTTAATTATGTCAAGTCATCTAGATAACGCACCCACATTCTATCTTCTCTCCTTCGTGTCTCCTTCACACACTCCTTTACATACCAGTTTTCATATAAATTAACATGAATTTTGTTCATCTGAGCTCACTCTGAATTCAGAATGGCTGAAATTGGAAAAAGGCTTCAGAATACTGGAAAGTGATATAGTCACTTCAGCTGGGAAGTACAGATCAAGTGTCAAGTCCTAAGAAAAGATGCTGTTCATGAATGGCGTATGGAGCCTGCATCACATCCATGCATGAATTTTTAACAATTTAAATATGCATTTAAGAACCTATAAAGCATGCTCTAAGAACAAAAGACGTTCATTAACTAAGCCTTTTAATAATCATGTAAGTCAAAGAAATCTTAACAGAAATGTTAAATCTTGCTTGTTGAGCAACAGGAACAGCGTTAGTACCTCATCTGGAGGACTTTTGATATGTCAGACAGTGTCTGAAATCAATTTATACTTTATAATTATAAAACGGATTTATACTTACTGAAAGGGTTTATGCTCTCTATTTACAAAAGCACATGAAGAACCAGAAGTCCCCTTATATATTTAATGGTCTCTTCATTTATGTTAAAAATGAACTAAGATGTATTTGTGAAATATCAGTATCTAATTTGTCCTAGTGAGCACTAATTATTTAGCCAATTTTTTTTGACTATCAGTTTTATAATTTTGCTCATGAACCATATAAATTTTAGTATGCTTTAAAATATTTTTTCTACTTTTTTCATTTTAAAGTATGTTCGCAAAAACCATGCTCACCTGCATTGGAACCCCAGCTGCTGCAGGTGGGTAATGTGCTGGAGGATGGAGCTTTGAGTAGACTGAATATACTGGTGCTTCATTCACTAATTTGTTATATAGTTCCAGAGCTTCTAAGACTTTCACATTCAATTCAGACAACTCAGAATGCTTCCTGATATAGAAGAAAAGCACTTTAATACTCTTCCAAATTTTTAAGCATGTGTTTAGCAACATAAAATTTTAAATTTAGCACACTCTCTATTCATATTTTAAACGGTTCTTTATATACAATGAAAGAATATTCACAAAGGGAAAATGGGAGGAGGAATTATTTAATTCTTGTAATAACTAGCTAACATGATTTCATAAAATTAGGGAAAGTCCTTTCCACACCTCATAAAATACAATCAATTCATAATTTTGGTGCTAGAAGAATTCTGTCCCATATATTATAGGTTTCTGTTAAAAACTCAATTACACAGGAGAAAAATTTCTCAATTTAGGAAGTGTCCAGGCCTTAACTAGATGTCCTAGAACAGCGGTTCTCAACTTGTGAGTCGCGACCCCTTTGGGGGTCGAACGACCCTTTCACAGGGGTTGCCTAAGACCATCGGAAAACAAAAAGACATTTACATTACGATTCATAACAGTAGCAAAATTACAGTTATAGAGTAGCAACGAAAATAATTTTATGGTTGGGGGTCACCACAACATGAGGAACTGTATTGAGGGGTCGCAATATTAGGAAGGCTGAGAACCGCTGTCCTAGAAGAATGTACTCAAAGTCCAGAGCATGCTATCAAGTACAATATGAGGGAAATAAAAACACATTCACAAACAATATCACACACATTTTCTTTTGCTTATATTCATGAACGGGTCAACTGAAAAAAATTTCATAATTATCCTTGAAAATGCAAATGAAAATAATTATATATAAACTAGTCTCTATTGCTCTTGTTTGTTGATTTCTTTTGAGGAAATAAGTGAAACCAGATACCTTATTGGGTAAAAACAAATCCAAATAAGAGCATTTCCAATTTGCCCAAGGAACTCCAGAGCAAATCGTTCTGACTTGGTACAATTTTGTCTATTACCCTTTAAGTAATAAAGAACTCCTTTTGCAACTGACAAGTTCATAAAAGTTACAGGGCTACCTTACTTGGCCTAAGGCACCAACAAGCCTGTTTATTAAATGTGGGTCTTTTTATATACACACAAGAGGATCAAGAGACAAGGGGCAGAGGCAGGCAACCAGATGCAGGCTTTCAAATAAATGATCTGGATAGACCTGTCAAGACTTATCACCTTTCCTCTATTACAATGTTATGTTTGAAACAAACAAACAAACAAACAAAAAATGTGCTGCCTTCTCTGTTGCATGTGTGACTGTATAAAGCAGGAAAAACTCTATTTTCAGAAATAACAGTTGTAAGCCACATAGGAAGCTTCAGAAATTAGTGTCCAGGCTAACCAAAGTGTGACTAAGAATTACCCACAGGCTTCTTTCCTAGTTTGATTATTCACTGACTGACCATTAACGTCCCTGCATTGAAACCAAAGTAGCAGATGGATAAGTAGATAGTTAATGCTTCCTCCAAAATAAGAACAATAGGATATGATAAGACTACCAACGCTATGTCATTAAGTGCCACAGGGGCTTATTTTTCATTTCTGTAGAAAATACAAACAATTTATCAAAAATGCCCATGGAACAAAGATTATAATCTTCAGTAAATAGAAAAAATCTTGCTGCTACCACCCTTCTCTAGCAAGGACAGATAAGAAGTAATAAAGTATGTCCTGTTCCTCTTGTGTTGTTTTAACAGTAGTTCAATAGACAGAACCTAGAAAGGTCTGATGATGGAACACTAAGGCCTTATCCCTTGTCTTCCATTCTCTATGGCTTCCCCCTCTGATTTCAGATAGAAAGCTCTGGGGAATGACAGAAGGGGCAAGACTAAGTTAAAAGCTCAAAACCCTGATAGTTTATCCTCCGGTGCTGCTGCTATTTCTAAGGAACAGTAAAACTAGGTGGGATAATGAAATGAAAAGGACAACAGAAATCCAGAAATATAAAGAAGCAAAATGAGGAGAGAAGGTGTGTACACTGGATTTAGCATCACAAATAAATGGGAAATTTCATTTGAAAGTTTTACAAATACCGTATTTCCCCATGTATAAGACGTACCCTTTTTTTGAAAAATTTGGGGTCTAAAAACTGGGTGCGTCTTATACAGTGGTTGTAGATTATTTTACTTGCATTTCCCACTTTTTTCATGCTTGTTTTTGCCCTCATACAACCACTGTATTAAGACACACCCAGTTTTTAGATCCCAAATTTTTCAAAAAAGGGTGTTTTATACATGGGGAAATATGGTACTACTTCTTATCACATAAGGAGACAAGGCTTGCCTAAGATCTCTGTTTCTATTTTGTGCTTTATTTAGCTTTATTCTTCATGACTCATTATCCCTCAATTCTAGCCCAAGTAAGGAAAGCAAGGGTCCATGGTTCTACAAGTACTCTACTGCCATGAACAAAAAAAATTGCTACCAAAATAAAAAGTACCACCTTGCTATTGGTTTGTAGGAGTTTGGGAATCTGAGAAATAATTTCAACAGACTGAACAGTTTCATAAAAACTCCCCGAAGTTCTGCCAAAAACAAGTAAGAAAACTATACTTGTTATTCCCTGCACAAAGAATCTCACCTATCAATCTCTTCAAGTTTTTCATCTATCATTGGACCCATCTGCTGGCAGATATCTGTAAATACAAAAATACTTTAAAAGCTTTAAACTTACACCAGTTTAAGTCAATTTCACAATTTTTAACAGCAGCACCAATATGCAACCATGTATTATATTATACAAAGAGAAATTAAGTTTATGCTAGAGAAAGGACTACAAAAGACCTAATTTTAATACTATTCAGCACCAATATTAATATCATGTGACCAAAGGCAAAGTCAAAATGAAAACAGAAATCCCACTATGTTCTCTGAAAGTACTAAGTTTGCAGACTGAAATTTGGAGTTATCTCAAAATCTTAAAATACATACTTAGAAAACTATTAATAGCTAAGTAAACTGAACTTGAGTCAGTGTATAAAATATGTAATTATGTACATGAGCTATGAACATTTTTCATTTATATAAGCCATTTCAAAATTAAACATGTATATTTCCAAATGTGAACACTGATAACAGTGAATACCACAATATTCTATATTCATAACCAGACTTTCCTCTATTATGATTTAAGATTTATCATTTATCACAAAGACTTTTCTCCCAAAGGATTTTTTAAAAATAGGCATAAAAATATGTTTTAATTGTTTCAAAATGCTTGAGGACTAAAAAGACACATCGGCATATATCAAATGACTATATTACAAAGTTACCACAAAATTTTGACCTTTAAAATCATGATACAAGAGAATTAAAACAGGAATAAGAATTCCTAACATTTCGACTCAGTTAATTGAATAGGCTGTTATTTCTAATTCTGTCCTTTTCTGGACTGCAAATCTCTTCAGCCAATTTCATTAATGGGCTTACAGAAATACAAAGACTTCCTTCTTGAACAGGACAGGCAGGTTTATAACAACACCATAATATGTTTACTAAGTAACTATACTAGTCTGTTTCCTATCAGAGATTTCTAATCTCTACAAGCAAACACAAGGCAGAAAAAACTTAAGACATTATAAATAGCTAAAATATTAAATGACATTAATGTAATCCCTAATATTTACTAAGTACCTTCTAAGTCCAAGAGGTCTTGGGAGTCTGGTTTTGAATCGGTTGGATCTATACTCTGGAGTACCTGCAGGGCTCTATCCATCTTATCCTAAAAAGTAACAGGACACTTTAAAGTTTTAATTTCAATAAATATAGAAATTACTTTTTCCAAGCATTTTCAAGGATAATACATTTTATAAGTCTTGACAGCTTAACTATTAAACAAAAGAAGGACTCTACCTCATCTATATAAACAGGCTCAGGCTCTGATTTCTTAATTTCCTCCTCCTCCTCCTCAATTACATTCAATTTGTCCACAGCTGCTATGGAAACAAAGTCAACTTTAAGTTCAGCATTTACTTTGATATTTTAGTCATTAATTTATAAGTAGACCGTGATTATTCATAAAAAAGAAACCCTTTAAATAGTATAGTCATCACATTTCATAATCAATATACATTATTACATTATGTTCATTCATGCCACAAATATTCATTTAGCCCTCGCTATGGTGCCAAGCATTGTTCTAGGTACTGGAAATACACCAGTGAGTAAAACAGACAAGAATCTCTGTGCTGATGGAATTTACCTCTAGTGAAACAAGAGAGCAATATAATGGGAACTGTCATTACAGGCATTTTCTAGAAAACTGAGTATTACCACTCAGGCAAATAAATATACAAGAGAGTATGGTATTATCGAGTGTTATCTAGTTAGCTAATTTCAGAGTTCTATGAGTTCCTTCCACACTCTTTCCTTACTATAAAAAAAGTATTTCCTAGGGCCGGCAGAGTAGCGTGTTGGTTAAGAGCTGGCTTGGGACGCCAGAGGGCCCTGGTTCGGATCCCACATATGAGGGCCAGTGACACTGCCCTCCACAGGTAAGATGCTGAACAACAGCTCAACCTGGAGCTGGGCTGCCGTGAGTCACTGTGACAGGCTAGGCTGCAGCCCCTACTGCAGTGGTTGCCATGGGCTACCGTGTGTAGCCAGCAGCCAGCGTGAGCGGCCAGCAGCCGTGGTGATTGGCCGTCCAGAAGCCAGTGACTGATCTGCCTCGCCTGGGAAGAGTGCAATGAGGGTGGCAACTTGGGCCAGTGAAGCAACGTCCTCCACAACTAGACTAAAGAACAAAAAAACGACAGCATCTTGTCTGTTCCCCTTCCCCCAATTCCCCAGCACTGTTCCCATCCCCCAATTCCCCAATAAAAATTCCTATATGAAATAAGAGACTTAATTTCAATCTAACTTTGATAATAGTTAAAGCAACACAATACAAAACAAACTTTCATAAAGGCTGAAAAATAATTTACAAATATACATGCCCCCAAACTATTTAAATGTTCACAGGAATACTTCTATAATGCACTGTATTTTAATAAAGTAAATTTTGGTAAAAATAAAATTATAATGACAATCTATATAACTAAAGGACCTTTAAGTCCCAACAGTTAGCCACTTATTGCAAATATCTGGCTAACTTTCAAATATGTCCTAAGGAGCAGAGCTCAGCGTAAAATGAGGATATACGAAAACCCAGAATATTTTCACTTTTAAAACTGCAGCTTGATGTCTCCAGCCTATGCCAAGGGGAAACCGTGATATTGGGTCCTCTGAACATGGTCTATCAAGTTATTAAAAATGATGTCTCCAATTTTCATATCAACTTAGAGAGTCAGACTGGAGGAATAAAAAGTATAAACAGTGGCAAAGTACTTGATAGTCAAATGAGTATTCATTTCCCTCAACTTCATTTTAACCAAATGCATCACTCCACTATGCAAAGAGGATGTTACATACAATACATAGAGCTTTCTATTTAAGTTCTTTCTCTAGAATTAGTAAAGAATAACACTGATGTGTCCTGAGGTGAGTTACTGTAAGTACTATCTAAGGGTAGACTGGTTGACTTTAGAATCCCGGCTTTATCACCTACGAGCCAGCCACCTAAGCCCCTCAGCCTGTTTCCTTATCTGAAAAATGGGGTAACAAAAGTATCTACCTCACAAACTTTTACGGATTAAACAAAATAGTGCAAGCAAAGGACTTAGCACAATGCCTGATACATAAGTGCTTAAACACCCCTGAGCTATTTTATTTCTGATCATCACCATCATTACTATTATTATTAACTGTTCTTTATACTCAGCTTCCCCTTACCTCCCTGCCTGCAAAGCAAATGGAAACTTTCTCTGCATGGTTGACAACAGCTGAGATGAATTGTCTGTGTCTATAAAACTGAGTGAAATTCAGAAGATCTGAACTGGGAACCTACTCTCTTGATTACATTATTTTATTATTGTCTAGGGTTCCCTAGGATCCAATCAAGGTCAGGAAAAGTCTGAAACTTAGGAGTACTCCTAACCTCTGTAATCACACTTGGTACTTGTCAACCATCCCCCACCCCCACCCCCTCCTTCAATACTGTGGTTTCAGGGATGAAAAAAACTAATATTCTTTGTACCAAACAGACATAAACTGACCCTTAAACCATAATTAGGTTGACTGAAATATTTACATGGTCAGATGATTTTATGCTTTATATGGAACTATGCCTGTTAACTCTCAAAGGATTTAAAATATAATGATAAAGGAAATAATTCTTGGAATTGATCTGGGTTAAATTAACCCCTAAATTTGGTTAAGAGGTAAATTGTATTGCCTATAAATAAATGTTTTAAAACAAGAGTTAAATGCCAATCTACTTTATATTCAAACGGAATCATAAAATTGAAATGTAAAAAACTTTAACAGGCTTAACCTTCCCTAATATTTTACTTACCTGCCTCAGACTCTATGTTTAAATTAGTTGTTACAAAATTAGATGGGAAGAGTCCTATTCCTCTGTGATTTTCTCCTTTCCACCAATTGGCATCACTGAAAATACAGTGTAAAAATGTCATTTGTTCCTCTACATTTTAGTGGAATACATTCAAGATTAAAATAAAAATTAAATTTAGTCTACTTTTAAAACTGTTAGTTCACATCCAACTATATTTAAAGTTCTTAAGCTTAATAAAAGATATAGAAAAGCACAAATAAAACAAACATTCAAATTTCCATACTTAAATTTAGAACCAATTAGCAATTCATTCATATTTGATTCCGGGTTTTTAAAATAGTAAAACATTATAGATAGCACTGAAGTCCCTTTTATCAACAACCCCACATCCAAGCTACCACATCGCCACCATAAAGCTGATATATAGCCTTTCTGCCGGCATATTTTTATTCGTTTACAAATCTCTACAGCCATCTCTATATAGATGTTAATCACTATAGATCTTTTTAATTTTATATGTTCATACTTTCAGATCTTTTATTCAGATGCTCATCCTGTTAAAATCAAACTTCTATCACATAAATATACCATATTTGATTTATCCATCCCCATATAGATGGACATTTAGTAATTTCCAGTCTTTCAACATCATAAAGATTATTAGGGTAGTGACCATTCTAGGTTCTGGGGCACACATGCAACAATTCTCTATGCTTACGCACAAACATGGACTTGCTGGGCCACAGAATGTAAGCATTTTCCATTTTCCTAAATATTTCCAAATGTTCCCTAAACTGGGGCGGCATTCACCATCCTATTTCCCTCACCAGCACGTGAGAATGTCATTTCCCACCACTAACTATCCAAGCAGCACAGCCTATCAGACAGGAAGAACCCTGATCTCACTACTGTGCTCATTTGCGCTTCCTGAGCAGCCAAGTGTGTCTGCTGGCTTTCAGATCGCCTCTGCTGTCAACCGCCAGCTCACATCTTCTGTCCGTTTTTCTTTACCCACTGGGTCCTTTGTCTTTTTTCACGGATCTATAGGCATTCTTGACATATTCTGGAGAGCAATTACTTGTCTGAACTATGAAAACACCTTCTCCCAAACTGTCACTTGTCTTTTAATATATGTTGATAGTTCCTTTCATTCCATGTTATCAAGTTTAACAATCTTTTCTTTTATAGCTTACACCTTTTTTTTTTTTTAAAGAAATTGGTCTCTATCCCTGCTCGCCTGAATCTCTTCTCCTATACACTTGTGTTTAATACTTTCAGGTTTCTCTTCTATCCCTCTCCTATGCTTAGGTCTTTAACTCATCTGAAATAAAATTTTATGTACTGTGTGTGAAGCTGAATCAAATTTTATTTGTAAAGAGCTATTCACACCAGCAAAATATACTAAATAATATATCATTTTTTTCCACTGATTTATGATATCCTATCTTTAAAACAGCAAGCTGCTATGTGTTAATGAGCCTATTTCCGGATTCCGGTCTGCTGCAATAGTGTGTATGTTTATTTACTACAGCTTATTAATATGCCTCAATATTTGGCAGGGAAAGAACCCTCTACGCTATTATGTACCTTTACATTTCTATATTAATATTAAACATTTTCAAGTTCTCTGGAAAAAAGTCTTGTTGGGATTTTAATTTGAAATGCACTGAATTTATGTGTACATATGGAAAAAATTAAATCTTTATATTAAGGTTTCTTCACCATGAACATGGTATCTCTATTTATATTTACATAAATATAAATAAATATTTATATTCCTTAATTTCTTTCAAACAACTTTTATATAATTTTCTCCATAAAGTCCTTACACATTTTTGTTAGGTTTCCTTATTCCTAGATCATTTACATCTTTTGTTACTATTGAGAATGGCATTTTTTTCTATCACACTTGCTAAATAGTTGTAATTAGAGTAAAGCATATCAATGGACTTTGTATGCTGAGCTTGTATCCACCAAACTTGAACTCTTACCAGTTTTAACAGTTTGTCCACTGATTCTTTTGGACTTTCTATATGGATAATCATAGAATCTGGAAATAATGGTTAATCTATTCCTTTCCAAAAATTTGACTTATTAAGCAGGCATTCTTAAGAAGAAACATAAGGATAAATTAACTTCTATGATTCTAATTTAAAAAGTACCATGAAGATACAAAAAGAGCTGTGTGCCACCCAAATTCTTAAAACCAGAACATAACTGATATACTGAAAGTCCCAAAGGTGTCATATCTGCTGATGTCTGTTAGAGGATAAAAGTCACTCTCTCTCTCTCTCACATACATACTTCCTTAAGTTGAACTTCCATTTAAAAAGGAAAGCTTAACTTAGAGGAATTTTTACATGAAACCAGAGAACCCAAACCTGTGAAATGGATGCATGGACTGTACTTGAATCTACGAACTATTTTATGTGTAGCCTTCCTTAGTGGTCCTAGTAACGTAGGATACTTTCCCACTCAACCACTACTAGAAACTCCTTGATGAAGATAAAAGCAGGCAAAACTATCAAATGCCATGTCAAAGCATGATGAATCCTTCCCAGCCCTAATGCAGCGCCATGTTCTCTCCATTGGCAGCCAGCTGATTCTATGGAGCGTTAATGGTATAAAATATTGTTCAATTTTAAATTCCTAAATTAAGGTAATTTGGCAATGTAGTTTTAGATAAGCCATATGGTAATTAAGGAAAATTTTATTGCAGCATTTATATTTACAGCTTTTTATGTTAAGAAAGAGTAAGTCACAGCTGATTGAGAAATGTTTTAAGTGTAAGAGACATAAACTCTACCTTCAACAAACTGATTATTTAGATGGAACTTCTAACTCTACTGGGAACTAAAGCCAGAAAAGGGTTTAATTGCTTGTCAGACGATATAAAACTTGACATGGGTTTTGAGGGTGATGTAAGCACTCACCAGGAGAAAAAGGAAATTAGGGCTGTGGAAATAAAAATGTCCTGCTGCCAGTGTGGAGAAGCAAAAAAATGAAAGTACAAAAAACAAAATATTTTGCACACTGAGACAAACAAAAAACAGTTACCCTGTCTCATTTTAGGTCTCAAAATAATGAAAATCTAGCCTCTCTGACTTCTTGACTAAAACAAAGTATGTGCTGACTTTTACAGTGACAAAGGCTGAAGATACATGATGCCCTTTATGGATATGATAATCATGTGAGAAAAGTACTACTCCTACCACAAATATACAAATAGGGAACCTGGAAACCTTGGTGATCTTATGGGGAACGGGGGTCTCCTCCTCAAAATACCTGTTTTATATTTTTTAATTTTGGGAGCCAATCCTTCCAAAGCCTGGGCTCCCTTGCAAACCTTCCTTGCAAGTAAGTCTCTTTTCTTTTCTAAATACGTTTGCTTCTTTTGACAGGGCTTTCCAGGCAGAGAGAACCAAATGTACAATGCCACCGAAGTCTAATCACAACATGGCATTTCTGGAACTGCAAGAATTCTACTTGGTGGTTTGAAATGGTACATACAGAACAAACAAGGAGTGGTGAAATAAAGCTAAAAAAGAAGAAAGTGAAAAGCTATTTTTGGTATACTGTTAATAAGAAATGTGTGTCTTTTCTATCAAGCTCAGTGTTTCTTAAACTGAAATCCAAGAATGACGTATTTTTAAGGGACTTCAAAGTCTACATGTGAAATTTTTAATTTTGTGCTTTCATTTCCACAGCAAATATAAATACAATGAATATATTCTGGATCATCTAGATGACCTCCGTTTAACCTAAGATTTCCACTTAACTTTAGTACCCAAGTTTCCATTTTTTGTTTAAAATTATGCCAGTGATAACCAATTACCCAGAAATAACATTTAACCTAGATATGTTGATGAGCACATCTGTGGCAATTTTAAGATTGGGATATCCTATCTTTCAAATGAAAGCAATCAACCTATATAGTCCATCATATTCACATTGAATTCTCTTAGCAGTTACAAAGAAAAACGTTCTCTTTTGCAGTGGTAAGTCTTAACTGAAAATAGTATGAGTCTGTTATTTAATGAATTTGTGCTTTAATTAGACACCAGTGAAAACAACACACTCAGCACAATAACATAACCCTTTACTCATTGCAAGCTTGTAGACTATAATAGGTATGTAATGTCACACGAACACAAATGACATAAAGAGATACAGTGTGTATGAAGGATTCACGAAGTTACAAAAGAAAAACTCAGAGAACTGAGATATCACAGCACAGGGTAGTACAGACCTGCTGGAGATAAGAGATGAAGGACCTGTGTACTGAGGAAGCAACATTGATCGGTGCTCTATTTACCTTGTGAGCAGCAATTTATTTTGGAAAACTTTCTTATTCCATAAAAGTAATCCTCAAAATTTGAATCTTGGAGCAAAATCTACTCTTTAGTTTTGTTTCTATTTATTTTATAAATGTCTTTAATTTTTTAGTTGTATAAGAGGATCAGAAGTGTAAACCTAAGTTTTTTGGTAAATATTCTGACTAAAACTACACTCAGAAGCCTGACATTTCAGACTGTCAGTGTTCAGAGCCCACACAACCTCTTCACCTTCTTATCTATTTACTCTTCTTCAGGGGTCACGTGCAAAAAGCTTTTGTGAACATAGTGTTATCTTGCCTGCCTGAGAGACCTTTGTTTTCCTGTTCTCTGTTATTGCAAAATTTTTTCTGTCCTGTCAACATCAATCCAAGTTCACCTGAAATGGACCCTGGGTAATCCTTATGTCCCAGAAGCTTGTACCGTATGTGAATCTGCTCTGTTTTGGACCCCAACACTCCCTCTTTCATAGCACTCACATTCTGTATTCCATACAATTACCTGCAGAGTGATTTTAACCCCCTTACTTTATTCTAGGTTTTAAGAAGACAAAACTGTGTCCTCATTCGTTTTGTATTATAAACAGGGCCTATTACAGAACATTTTCTTAATACATATTTACCGCAGCAAAGTAAAACCATTTTTGTGTATTTACCCATTTAAAAATACATTAGACTAAATGTGTCCTTACTAAGCTATTTATAATGTATACCAAATACATCTGCAATATCTATTCATAGCAACAAGCTGTTAAGTCTCACTCTTGCTAAATTTCATCCACTTCTTTTAAAAGCACAGTAAAGACTAGAGTTAGGCCCAATATAGATAGGTCTATTCTTTATTACATTTAAATGATAGAGAAGTTGTGAAGGAGAGTAGAGTAGCAGATTAAAAATTGGAAAGGAGCTGAGCATAGCTTTTGGTTGCTTTGATCAAAGGTAATATAGCTAGCTATACAGTAAAACCTTGGATTGCGAGTAACATAGTTTGTGAGTGTTCCGCAAGACAAGCAAACATTCCTAATACATTTTAATGTGGTAAACGAGCGATGTCTTACGAGTAGTTTGTTTCCGGAATGAATTATGCTATCAAACCAAGGTATTTCTGTATTTCTTTTTAAAGCTTATTTCCCAGCAATTTGGTATACACAACTCCCAATGTAAATGCATTCAGATGACTGAATATTTATGTTTTCCAATCATGATAATCAACAATATCATTTAGTACATCTTTTATCCAAGACATAATGTAAAACCAAATGTAACAAAAGGATAAGAAACTCACATAACCTAGTCTAACTTTTATTTTAGAAAAAAATAATTAAGGTATGAAAAGGTTCTATGACAATTTAAATAAGTCAAAGAGCTGAATATGCAGGATTCTAAAATAAGATTATATTTAACTTCAAAATATTCCAGAAATAATGATTTTATACATACCTGTCATCCAAAACAATAATAATTTCACCATGTTTAAAGGTGAGTTCATTGTCCTCAACGGCTTCAAAATCATATAAAGCTCTCACTTTCCTTGCAACTTTATTATTTAGTTGAACTTCTGTAGATGGATATAAGGATTTTGTTTCCGTGTGCTGCTGCTTCTGCTCTTGCAACGATAATTCAATAGCTAGTTTGAAAAATTAAAATTCAAAATAAGACAGAATTCTGATTTTTAAAAAGTTTAAAAAGAAATATTAGATAACATAATATTTAATAAGAATAAATCAAGTGGATATTTTATTTGTCCATTAAATGCTAAACAGTTAACTTTCTTGAGGGGCAGAGAATCATGACATTTTTTAAAATAAAGTTTTTGCTCATTCTTTATTACAACAGTCTGTCATATACAGCAGTTATTATTTTTATAACAAACAGATTGTGACATTATAATATGGGTAGCTTTCCATATAGGACAGCGGTGAACATATTTCTGTGCTTGACTCATAACTCTGGCATTAAAGAAAAGGTGAAATGTAATCTCTCTAAAGGTAGGTCATGAAATGCATATTACTGCCAATGATAATGAATTAAATTGATTTATATCATGTCAGTTGTTTTCCTTACTTTTAGACCCTACTATAATAGTTTTAGATTTGAATACTAAAAAAATACTCAGTTTTATTATAATTTTTATTCCAATAAATTGTTCTGGCAAGGAGGTTTTAAGCAATACTAAGTTACCCATTTGATCATTTACCTTTAGCTATGTCTTCATCTTCTTTGTTTTTGTTTGATGACATACCATTCTTGGCAGCCACTGAGACAGTCTGTAAAGTACAAGTAAAATGAACAGAGCTACCCTTTTAAAGAAAACACATGCTATAATCAATTGCACATGCTAATTTAAAATAAAACTGATATAATTGATTTTCATTTAAAAGTTATTTAGGATTATTTTAAGTAGCTGTTTTCAAATACTAAAATGAAACCTAAGAATTTTCAAGAAAACATTATAAACTCATGAAGGGCATGGAATGGCTTACATTTTGCATAAATCTAAGTATCTGACATAGAACTGGGCATACATAAAAGTACTTAAATACGAATCTTTCCTGATTGCACTTCCTTATCTCAACTATCCAAGGTCTCTTACTCAGTGAGAGGTGCTATATTGCTACAGGTAGGTCAGGAGCTATGAGAGAAGGGGCAGCAAGAAGCCATGGTAGCTACTGAAGAGAAGAGAAGGGAGGACAAAGACAACACATGCAGCTCCAAGGAACACATGTGATGCCTCTTCCTACTCACTGTGTTCAAGGAAGGTGGCTCTTCGGGCATAGCAAAGGACTAAGGAAGGGCATGCTTAAACTTAAAGGCATGAAAGACACAGGTGTGCAAGATTCTGAACGATCCAGCAGTTCTTTCACACAGATTTTTGAGAAACACGCAGAAAGAACAGGGCAGGAAAGTGCTTGCTTTTTATTACTTGTAAGGCTTTTGTCCCAAAATTCTACCTTGAATCCTTAAGTTTGTTTCTTTAGTCTACAGTCTATAATTAAAAAAAAAATGTATAGTACTTTTCTTATTCTCTTTCCCTAGCCCATATCCTAATATTAAGTGAATGGCAAGAGGCACTGAGAGCAAAACCCAAGATACAATGTTTTTCTCCAGCAGGCCTAAGTCACTCCATGACTCATTATCTCTGCCTCCACCTCTGTCCTTCTAAAGCTATCCCGTCTCCGCAGATAAATTTCTAGTCTTATAGCTCCACCCATTTTATACGTAAACCATTCATTCCAGACATATTCACTCTTCAACACACAGGTCTTGCGCTTTCTCAGTTCCACAAATTTGTTCATGCCATTCCTCCCTCAATCTTTTTACTCCTCTTTACCTATTGAAATGCATTACAGTCTAAAAATTCTACCTCTTCGCCTCCTTCACCATCCCAGTCTATAATAACCTGTCTCTCCTGGCATCAAGTTTTTGTACCCCTCATCCATATTTGTCACTTATAATTTAGTTGTTTTTCACCTGTATACAAGGTGATAAAAAAATAAAGTGAATGCTGCTGCCAAGTGCCATCCAATGGAAAGGCAGAGATCTTCAATATGGGAAGCGGTGCACTTAGTAATAGTGTGTGACAAGTTTCAACTTGTTCGGTGCAGTCAGTCGGGTGTGAGCTACGGTTGAGAGGTGTGTTTTAAAGTGTGCCCTAAATCACCTTCCATCATGACAATGCTATGTGTAACACATCACTTCTGGTATATGACAATTTCTGTCAAATCAAAACATTATGGCGTGTCCTCATCCACCTTATTCACCAGATCTGGCACCATGGGACTTCTGGTTCTTCCCAAAGTCAAAATGACCATGAAAGATAAATGTTTTGAATCAGTTTAGGACATAGAGGCAGCCACGACAGAGCAACTAAAGACACTCACAAAGAGGACTTTCAGAACTGTTTCAGGAAGTGGCAAGAACGATGGGATAAGTGTGTTCAAAGTGAGGGGGAGTACTTTGAGGTGGATTAATAGCAATGTCTTTCACTGTAATAAATTTTTTTAAATTTAAACATTCACCGTATTTTTATACCTTGTATATCTACCCTTCAAATGTATTATAAATTTCTTGAACACAAGGCCCTCTCAAACAGCTATGCCTCTAAATGACTCTAGAGTAGCCTTAAGCAGATTATTTATGGCTGAATCACTTCTCAAAGTTTTGATATGCAGAAGAAATTCACTCAACAATTAAAACATCTACTAAATATAAGGCACTATCCTAGACAGGCACTTGGAGAGTGAAGGTGGGCGATCATTAAAACAGACCTTGCCTGGGCTAGCCGAGTGGCTCAGTTGGTTAAGAGTGCAAGCCCTGAGCAACAGGGTCACTGGTTCAATTCCCACATGGGCCAGTGAGCTGTGCCCAAGATGAGCTGCCGCTGAGCTGCCAACAGGTGGCAGGATGGCTCAGCTGGTGAGAGCACATGCTCCTAACAACAAGGTTGCCCGTTCGACTCCCACATGGGATGGTGGGCTACGCCCACCCACAACTAAGATTGAACACAGCACCTTGAGCTGAGAGGTCACAAGCTACTGACGGGAGGCCGGATGGCAACTGGACTTTGAGCTGAGCTAGCTGTGCCCTCCACAACTAAGACTAAAGGACAACAACTTGGCTGTTCCCCTTCCCCAATTTCCAAACAAAGTCTGAAAAAAAAAAAAAAAGAGGGCCGGTAGAGTGGCTCAGTTGGTTAAGAGCTCACTCAAGAGTTTGAGCTCTCGGGGCCGGCCGAGTGGCGCGATGGTTAAGAACTGGCTTTGGATGCCAGGAGGGCCTGGTTCCGATTCCACATATGAGGGCCAGTGACACTGCCCTCTACAGCTAAGATGCTGAACAACAGCTCAACCTGGAGCTGGGCTGCCGTGAGTCACCGGCGTTGGCGTAGGCTGCAGCCCCTGTGGCAGTGGGTTGCCATGGGCTACTGTATGTAGCCAGCAGCTAGCGTGAGCGGCCAGCAGTTGCAGTGAGTGGCCGTCCAGAAGCCGGCGACTGATCTGCCTCGCCCAGGAAGAGCGCAATGATGGTGCCAACTTGGGCCAGTGAAGCAACATCCTCCATAACTGGACTGAAGAACAAAACGACAGCAACTTGTCTGTTCCCCTTCCCCCAATTCCCCAGCCCTGTTCCCATCCCCCAATTCCCCAATAAAAAATTCAAAAAAGAGTTTGAGCTCTGAGCAATAGGGTCCCTGGTGTGATTCACGGCCCGAGCTGAGCTGCCGCTGAGCTGCCAACAGGTGGCAGGATGGCTAAGCTTAAAAAAAAGAAAAAGAAAAGAAAAACAGACATTGCCCAACTTTTACATAAGATACATACCTTCAAAATAGTATAGGGTCAACCGTGGGTTTAAATCAATCTCTTACCTGAGAACCTGCTGAAGGAAAAGTAATTCCTTCTTCTTTCATAGATTTAATAGTTGCAGATATTAGACTAAACTGAGGATCCTTCTGAAATTCTTCTGACCACTCCACCATTAAAGATTTCAGTTTTTCACATACTTTAGGATGAGCCTTTTAAAGAAAAGGCAAAGGAAAAAAAAAAAAGCTGTGGTTAAAGTTAAGTACTTGAATTATTTAACAAAGAGAATTATCACCAAAATTTTCTTTACTCATATGAACATGAACAAAAGTCCACCAATCTCTAGCCTAGATGAGTGCCTGATAAATGCCTATTTACATTTTAAGATAGTTGTTTATTACAAAATTATCCTTTTGAACATTAATTTCTAAGTCATCTTATAATGATATGTCGTTTATATTCAGAAGTTATTCTGTTTTCTTAATGTTCTCAGTATTAAATTAAGCTTTTTATATCAACTAACCTAAAATTCTAGGATTTTTGCCAGCATGAGAATGGTGCTTCAGAGTTTCCATCTCAAAGAAATCAATAACAGCAGCCCTATACTGAAGACCCCCCTCCACTCTGCTCTAGAATAAAGACCCCATTTGCTAGCCATCTCTAATGGGAATCAGTACAGAATGGCGGTTAGTTTGGACTCTGCAGTCACAGAAACCTGGATCTGAACCTGGATATGCCACTTACTAGCTGCATGACCTTGGACAAGTTACTTAACTTCTAAGTCTCAGTTTCTGCATCTATAAATTAATAATGACAAGAGAATCTAAATTCCAAGTGTTATTAAGAGCATTAAACAAGATAGCATATGTAAAATGCTTAAAGCAGTGACTGCTACCTAACGCTCAATAAAGATTAGCTATTAACACAAGCATATACGCTTTAGGAAGGAAAATAGTTTTTGGTGCTACGAATGAAAACATCGAATTTAAAAACAGGAAGTTTGTTTGATTTCAAATTTATCTAAAAATGACTTTATTTATAATACTTTATTAATACTATATATAGTTAAAATGACATAGAGTACGCATATTTTTTAATGACTTAAATTTCTTCTCTTTTTAAAATTTACCTTATTTTTTATCACAGCACGTACTTCTGTTGCAAAATCACGGGAACATACTTCTAAATGAAATATCTTTCCACAGTTTGCCACACAAGCCCCAAGAAGCTATTAAATTAAAATAAAAATCAATATACAAATGTTGAGATATCTTAACTTACTAAAATAAATACACATTTAAAATAGGTCAAATAATAACACGACTTTTACTTTTACTTACAGTTAACGCTTGCAGAGCAACATGAGGAACCTTATGATTTACCCGTTTCATTATGGCTTTTAGGCAATCTTTTGCTCTAAGAAAAAAATGAAGGAGGTTAAGTAATTATTAAGAATTTCAAATCAAACATTAAAAATATTTTTTACTACCAAACAACTTTAAATTTAAAAATAAAAACTTGCCAACTTCACTTTGTTAAAGAAATAAATCTTTAAAATAATGTTAAACAAGCTTTTGCTCATAGACTTGTAGAACTTTAAAAAAAATTGTTGCAAAGGTCGTATATTGCAAAACCAAATCATTTCAGAAAAGGTCAGTCAACACAAGAGAATTGTATCATATCTTTTCACTTGTTCAAGGCAGACTTAGCTTTCAGAAAGCAAATTCTTAACTTGAAAAAAAAGTGAGCAAAAAATGAGTACTAAAAGGTTTAAGTACAAACATGCATGAATGCACTTTGAAAAGCTATGTTAAAACAAGTGCTTTCATCGGTCTTCTAAACTTCTAAAGTAAAATCAGTTCTGCTTAACTGCTGCATTGTCCCCCAAAGCACCCTTTTTTATAGTCACTTTTTTCATTATTATATGTATCTATTCATTACTGAAAGGCTTTTCCAGCATATTACCTATTATACATTTACCTACTTTATTATTAAAAGGCTCCCATATATGTCTAAGTCACAAGGGAATTCCCTATACAACTACTCTATTCATTAACATGTGTCTCTATTGCATCAAGACTTTATGTGTTGTAATATCTCTCAGGTTTGCAGTTGAACTCTTTTCCATTTGTTCCTTCAGGATAAGGTTAATCCCATAAATCCCACCACCACGATCTCTTTATTTTTATTCCCCAAAAGTAAAGAGCAAAATCCCCTTTTCCTTTCAAAGTTACATCAAGAAAAGAGACACAGGTTAATGAGGCTCCTAGACATTCACTGGGCATAACTGGACATCTTACCCATTAGGAGTGCTTCCAACTTTATCACATATGTCCATAATAAGGCTCCAATCTTCCGTCGTGTTATACTCATTTGTGGCTTTTTCTATAAGATATTAGCATACACAAAAATTAGGACATGTCTTATGGAACACTAAAATACTAAGAAAGACAACAGTAGTTAAGAAGTTAAGAAGCCCTACCTTCTCTTTTGCCAAATACAAAAGAACTATGAAAAAACCTCAGAAGGCAGAATACTTCTACTAATTTCAATTTTAAATTGTATAATTAAATAAATTAAATGTTCAACCATACACCAATAAAATGCCTTCTATATATAGTTAAATAATACTAAATAAATTACAAATTATCAATAATCGTATCAAATTCTAATTTGGAAGAAAGCCTTGAAAATGTGTCATCATGTAAGGAAATATGGATGAAACTGTTCACTGAATCATTGTTTTTAAGAGCAAAAGAAAATGTATTAATACAGTAAACTCATACAATGGAATGTGAAAATAAGTTATACAGAACTAAATGTATAAAAATGTGTAAATCTCAAAATCTAATGATTTACTTTTGCTTCTGAGTTAAAAAAAAGCTAACAGAATATATAACATTCACATGAACTTTTTAAACAGCTTTATTAAAATAACAATTCACATCCCAATACAATTCACTCATTTAAAGTGTACAATTTAAGATTTTTAATATAATTACAGAGTTGTGCAACTATCACTGCTATCTAATTTTAGAACATTTTCATTACCCTAAAAAAGAAGTCCATGCTCACTGTCAGTCATAGCCCATTCTCACCCGATACTCCCAGCTCTGGACAACCACTAATCTACTTTCTGTCTCTATAGGTTCCTATTCTAGACTTTTCATATCAATAGAATCATGCAACATATGGTCTTTTGTGACAAGCTTCTTTTATTTAGTATAATGTTTCCAAGGGTCATCCATGTTGAAGCATGAATCAGTACTTCATTTCTTTTTATGGTTGAATATTATTCCATTGTATTGATATACTTCATTTTATTTATCCATTCAACAGTTGATGAACATTTGAGGGTTTTTTTGTTTGTTTTAATTTGGGGGGGGGTAATATAATGCAATGCTGCTGTGAACATTTGTGTACAAATTTTTGTGTGGGTGTATGTTTTCCTATCTGTAGGATAATTGTTCAGTCTCACAGTAACTCTTATTTAATTTTTTTAGGATCTGTCAGTTTTCCAAAGCACCTGTACCACTTTATATTGTCATCAGCAATAGATGAATGTTTCACAAAAAGTTTTGAAACATCCAAAAAATATACTATATTCTTTAGAAATACATACAAAGGTAGTAAAAAATATTAACATATGCATGAGAATGATAAACATCAAACTGGAGGTGGATGGGGGATAAAAATGGGTTACATGGGGGCTTAATTATATTTAATAAGTTTTGTTTAAGTTCTGAAGTAAATATCCAGAAATTACTTTATTCTCAGTATTTTTTTGTGGTCTGAAATAATTTATGATCAAAATAAAAATTTATAAGTAAATTTTTTAAAAAAATGATTAGAATATAATGACCGAGTTATATAGCATTTTTTACTCTTAACTTCTATAAAATTTCAATATCAAGAAAAACAATTTTTTTCTGCTAGTATGGGGAAGAGGATATGAAAATTACCACTTTAGAAACTTTTGCTTTGTCTTTTCCCCTTTATATCCTATAATTTCAAATACAGCCAAACCTGGGTATTATATACATATTTGCTTATCACAGTGATAAGCAGGAAGGATGGTAGAAATCTATAGTTCCTTTTTCAAAGGCAATGGATAATAAAAGAAGCCAAAAAATAAACAGGTTTAGAGTCATACTTTGCAAGCAGTAAAGAGAAACACAGAATCCAGTTAACCTCAGTTAAATGGTGGAACTCACTTTTTAAAAGCCATGTAAATTGCTTAACGCGATGGATAGAAAGAATTATCTTGACATACATGCTGAAATGACAAGCTACAGGTTTTAGAAAAGTAATATATTTTTGCCTCACATAAGTTCTAAACTTATGCACCAAGCTATGTAGGTGGAAACATATCTACTCAGGTCCAACTTCTTTCCTTGTACAAAGATGATTAATTCTTCTACATGGAAAGTCAGACCAGGATGTATTTTTTTTTTTAAACTGAGGAACTGGGGAAGGAGAACAGCCAAGTCGTTGTCCTTCAATCTTCGTTGTGGAGGGCGCAGCTAGCTCAGCTCCAAGTCCAGTTGCCATCCAGCCGCCCATCGGCAGCTCAGGGCAGCTCAGCTCAAGATGCTGTGTTCAATTTTAGTTGTGGATGTGTGTAGCCCACCATCCCATGCGGGAGTCAAACCCGCAACCTTGTTGCTAAGAGCACACGTTCTAACCACTGAGCCATCAGGCCGCCCGTTGGCAGCTCAGGGCAGGCATAGCCCACCATCCCATGTGGGAGTCGAACCGGCAACCTTGTTGTTAGGAGCACATGCTCTCACCAGCTGAGCCATCCTGCCACCTGTTGGCAGATCACTGGCAGCTCAACTCGGGCGCAGCTCACTGGCCCATGTGGGAATCGAACCAGTGACCCTGTTGCTCGGGGCTCGTGCTCTTAACTAAATGAGCCACTTGGCTGGCCCAGTATGTATTTTTTTAGAGGTTTAAAATGCTTAACTATTTCTTAATAACATACCTAATAAATTCAGTGAATTCGAAAGTAACAGACAAGAAAAAAAACCTAATTCTGCCATCCTCTTTTAAAACTGTGATGCATATCTTTCCAGACTTCTACACACTTATATGGAAAAATAATAAAAAATATGTGTAAAACTAAATAAAACAGGATCATAGTATAAGGTGTCCAATGACAGCACCCCAAAACTGATAACCTGCTCCCTGCCAAAGTTATGAATAAGTTGAGAAACAAAACAAAGAATAAAATACCGCTGTTACTACTAACAGAAGCTCCAGGTGCACTGGACAAACAGACTTGCTAATAGTGAAGCCCAGAGGTGGGCAGGCCTTAGCACTACATGTGGCAGACCTCTCCCTGCAGCGGGGAGACCCTGCATAACTTATTCCATCGAGAAGCAGATGAGAAAGCACTCAGTGGCTGTGGAAAGACTAGTTCCTACATGGACAAAGTGCATCAAGAGGGCCAGTTACTTGCAAATTTACCAATCAGATAAGTCATTACACCAGGGGTGGAGTAAATAAAGCAGTAGGCACAGACTCAGAGAGACACTAAAGGATGGAGCTCTCTCAGGAAGGAAACCTGAGGGAAAGTGAAAAAGTATTTCCCACTAACATCATATTAAATGTATCATTTCCTAACCTACATTTCCACGGATCAGAAACATCTCTCCATGTTCATAAATATACATGTGTACCACTATGTTTAATAGCTGCATGATGTACCATTATATACAGTGGCCACAAGTGCTTATACAAGCTGCTGAGAAATTATGTGCAAATTGCGGTTTTAAATCCATCAAGTACCCAGTCTTCTGCTTTGTTACATTAACTGGTCTCATTCATATTGATGCTCTACATAGAACAAATACAAAGTAATCAAAAGATGTCAGGATTTCACGCATAAGCTTTTCTATAGATGCATCATAGCTAAATACTTTATCTTGCCATCTCTGTCACTGCTTCTCTCCCTCCCCTAACCCTCAGAATGAATGTAGGCTCCATTATGGCAGGAATTTTTTGTTTTGTTTTATTCACTATTATTATTCGAAGTGGAGAGAAGTATCTGGGCACACAGTAGGTGCTCAATAAATATGTGTTCAATGAATGATGCTGCTTGCTCCTCCATATTCTGTCACCCTGGCACAATGGTTGTAATGTGGGAAATAGCAGAGCTTCCAAGTATATGAACTAGAAGGGCTTTTATGATGCCCAACGTGGCCTCAGAGAAGTCTGTGCAAAAGTTCTGGACCAGCAAGGGCTTCATCACTGAGAAGACAAACATCCAAGGGGCAGCACAGGGTCAAGCTTCAATAACACCACCATGTGACAACAAGAGGCAACAGCACTAGTGGGCTTGTGAGGTTTTAGTTCTCAGCTTGCCTAGGAAGAGGAAAGACAATGCCTTTGGGAGTCGCAATAGGGAGATGGTAAATGTAGAAGGAAATGCCTCAAAAGGGAGGCAAAGAAGACATGGAAATGACCCAAGTGTCCTTCAAAGGACGATTAGATAAAGAAGATGTGGTACATATATACAATGTAATACTACTCAGCCATAAAAAAGAGGAAATATTGCCATTTGCAACAACATGGATGGATCTTGACAGCATTACCCTAAGTGAAAAAAGTCAGGTGGAAAAAGACAAGAATTGTATGATTTTAATCATATGTGGGATATAAAACAAAAAGCAACAAACGAAAAAACAAAACATAACAAAAAAAACAAATTCATAGACACAGACAACAGAATAGTGGTTACCAGAGAGGACAAAAAGGGTACAGGGGATCAAATACAAGGGGATGAAAGGAGACTAGACTTTGAGTGGTGAGCACACAATAGTGTCATACAGATGTATTATAAAGTTGTACACCTGAAATTGACATGTTATTAACCAATGTTACCCCCAGTAAATTTAAATTTTTTTAAAAAAAGTGACCCCAGACAGCTATCTCAGAGTCACTTCAGCCATGTGAGGACATAGGAAGAAGACAACCATCTACAAATCAGAAAGCTGGCTCTCTGATTCAGACATCAAATCTGCCAGCGTCTTGATCTTGGACTTCCCAGCCTTGGACTGTGAAAAGTAAATTTGTTGGGCCAGCCGAGTGGCGCATTGGTTAAGAACTGGCTTGGGACGCCAGAGGGCCCCGGTTCGGATCCCACATATGAGGGCCAGTGACACTGCCCTCTACAGCTAAGATGCTGAACAACAGCTCAACCTGGAGCTGGGGTGCCGTGAGTCACCGGTGACGGCGTAGGCTGCAGCCCCTGTGGCAGTGGGTTGCCATGGGCTACCGTATGTAGCCAGCAGCCAGCGTGAGCGGCCAGCAGCCGCAGTGAGCGGCCGTCCAGAAGCCGGCGACTGATCTGCCTCGCCCGGGAAGAGCGCAATGATGGTGCC